AGTAATATATTTTTTATATTTCAAAAAGGTTACATAGAATCATTTGCCTGAGTTGGGGCAAATAAAACCCTCTTTTGTCCATTAGTTTCATAACAAAGATTTGTGTGCAAACAGGTAACAGACTGGCATTACCTGATGAATCTGAGGCTTGGATAGTTGCTTCTGAATCCTGCACTTTTCATGCCATGGGAGCTGAGTATGTCCGAGATGTCTTACCAGGTGAAATAGTGGAGGTGACCAAGAATGGAGTTATTTCAAGATGTATCGTCCCCAGGCCTGAAGCCCATCCTCCAGCTTTCTGTATATTTGAATATGTTTATTTTGCCAGACCAGATTCAAGATTTGAAGGTTTGACTTTGTTTCTTTAAAAAAATTAATGTATTGGAAGTCTGTGTTAGTTACTACTGATGGATGCTTCTGCTTGAAGATAACCTTTTTTGATATAAGAAATATTTTTTAAGGTCTTCCAGCTTTCAATTGCAAGATTTGACCCTAAAGACTTTTGGACTCATTTCAAAACATAAACTTTTCATTAAAGACAATTTAAAACAGAATTTGCTGTATTGAATATTTTCTTCAATATAGACATTTAAAAAAAAAACAGCCATAGCCTTAGCACTTTAAGTTAATGTTTAAAAGACAGAGCTTGTATAGACAAGAAACTCATTATTTTGCCTGAGGCCTAGAATACAAATCCTTTCTATGAGGATCACATTTCTAATTGGAAAATATTCTGAAAGTAGAAATTGCATTTAAAATGTCTCACAAAACTTTTAAAAATTACTTTTGTTTTATTTTTTATTAGGTCAAATGGTGGCATCTGTTAGACGGCGTTGTGGCAGGCAGTTAGCATTAGAATGGCCAGCAGATGTTGATCTGGTCAGCACTGTCCCTGAGTCAGCAACTCCAGCAGCAATGGAGTATGCAGCAACTGTAAGTATTTAATCTATGGAATTAAAAAAATATACATTAATGAATTATCATTGATAAGTCTAGTCATTTGTCTATTTTTGTATACTAATGTGCACATTGTCTGAATGAGTCAAGTCATTTGTGTGTCGATGGCTTTATACTATATGTCCATTATATTCATTATCCTAATTGTTTCTAGCGTTGGTTTATGATGTTCATTTTTGTAACTTGATTTTACAAGAGTTCTGTGCCCTTGTTATTCTGACATCTCATTGTCTTTCAGCTCAACATTCCTTACCGAGAAGTGCTCTGCAAAAATAGATATGTGGGGCGCACATTTATTCAACCGTCTGCCCGTCTACGTAAACTTGGAGTTGCCAAAAAGTTTGGACCTTTGGTTGATAACTTCTACGGTAAACGTCTTGTTATTATTGATGACTCAATAGTTCGAGGAACCACAATGGGACAGCTTGTGGCACTCTTAAGGAAAGCTGGTGCTAAAGAGGTAACTGCTTGCCATTTCTGCTAACTAATGCTCTATGAAACCATTAATTGTTCAATATTTTCAAGTGGTTAGCAAACCTATGCAAAAATATTTTAAAAAATAAACATGTTAATAAAATATTGTATGGTAACAACAAAATATATTTGACATTGAAACATTTTTTTTTTTTGCTGATAGAAAAAAATACAACTAAGTTTGAAAGACTGAAATAAAGTGACATTTTATTTTTTCCTGAACAAAAGTAGCAAAAATTTTCTATGATTTGAGGAAGCTTTTTATTTAAAAAAGGTTTTAACATAAATATTTCTTTTTTCTAAATTTTTTTTTGACTTTCATAAAAGAAATATGGATACAAAATCTTTTAAAATTGTATATATATACAATATATTTTTAGTTCATTGACTTGATCTACAGCCTCGTAGTGGAGTATGTCCTGCTCCCTCCTTCATCGCCATAATGCATCCTGATGGTTGTGTATGTCCTCAAAAGTTATATTATAGATGTTGCATTACCTCCTAATGGTGGTCCACACCACTCTTCTAAAATTCACCAAATATCCACCTCATATCATGTTCATTTAGTAACGCACAACTCTTAGATACTCTGCATATGAAGAGTTGATTTATGACCTGATTGCTGCTGCCAACATTCTTTGCTTATTGGAAGAAGACAGTGAATGAATATGATACAAGTTTCGATGGCTTCACTAACTAAAGCGAGGACAGTGACACTAGTGATACATTACATGCATTGTAGTCTATATGTTTTGACGTTACCAATATCAGCAAATTAGTTTAGTTGCTTACTTACTTATTACAATTGATTACTTGTTATTAAAGATTCTCTGCAGCATCAGTGCATCAGCACTATTTTTTTTCTTGAGGATTATAATGAAATGTTACTAAAGCTTTCCAATGTACATTTCACAATCATAAAGCGAACTATAGGAGGCTGCCAATCATTTGTAAACAATTGTATAACCTGCGATTTATATGCACAAAAGTACGGTAATAAAATCAAATCATTTGAACTACCTAGTTCATGGCTTTACTCAACAAGATTCATCTAACAGTAAACAAAGGCATACACGTCTCACATGACTGAATGTTCAAGTACAATGGACACATGCTGGACATGACCTTCTGACATGCTGGACACAGAGAATAAACATCTCAGTTGCAATACAATTAGTTTTTTGGTTTGTTTTTTTTAGAAATAATTTTCTACCATTTTTTAATTATTATTATTAATTTTAAGTGTTCTATTTTTTTCAGTTGAGTATCTATTTGAAACCAGTATTACAAATGCAAATCTTTATTGAAAACTTATTTTTAAAAACAATATTTTTCTTTGGTTTTGTCAGGTCCATGTTAGAGTGGCCTCTCCTCCAATCAAATATCCTTGTTACATGGGTATCAATATTCCAACAAAAGAAGAACTGGTTGCAAACATCATTCCTTTGAATGAAATGGCTAAACTGTTTGGTGAGTACAACTTGTTGGCACTTTATTGAGCTACAAGTTGTGATAATCTTTAGTACTTCAAATAGCTAAGTTTTCTTTTACTTTACTTATGGTGTAGTCTTTAGGACTTCAGTTAGCTAAGTTTTCCTTTTACTTATGGTGCCTATTGACATATTTAATCTGAGAAAATTACATTTTGAGTTAATTCATCTTCTTTCCTTTGCGTTCCGCATGGAATTTAGGGCCTCAGTAGAAACACACCACTCTCCACCGTCAGTTGCTAGTTTTTTAATGGCTTTCCAGTCCTCTCAGCTTCATCTAGTATACTGCGTCGCCATGTTCTTTTTGGTCTTGTGTCCTGTGTATCCACTCTAAGGCTTGTCTATCTCTGTTGTTGGTTTCTTTTCTTATGTTGTGACCATCTCCACCTTCTCTCTAAGATCTGCACCTCGATATTTTTCTGTCCATTTAGAGTTAATTAGCATCTCTTAAAAAGACATAATGAAGTTAGTACATTTTTAAGTTGATGTTAATTTTTATATAGGATATATTTCACTCCATAATGTGCTATTTAAAGTATGCTTCAGACTAAAATTGTCTACATTAGTTTTAATTAATTTTTCTTTTGGTATTTGAATCAGGAGCTGATTCAGTGCATTATTTGTCACTTGAAGGCCTGAAGAAAGCTGTGACAGAAGGCTTGAAGGAAGGTCAAGAAACTGGACACTGCACAGCATGCTTAAGTGGGGACTACCCAGTTAAGAAACTAGATTGGTAGCTGACAATTGAAAAATTCCTTCTTAAAAAAAACCTAGCTCAATCGAAAGCTCAAAAAGAAAAAGCAACAAATAAATAAATCAGGCAGCCTTTATGTGTTCAGGAACATTATTTTAATACCAACAGTATTGTCTTACTAAATATATTTTTAGCTCTAAAACCAACTTGGCATTTTTATATTTTTTTGACTACTTACCAATAAAAGTGCCAATAGTTTCAACTGCTAGTTGACTGTAACTGACATTAGATAATAATTATATAGTCATATGTAACTGTTGAATTGGTGTTTATGTGTCAACAATACAAGGCTAACTGAGCATGTATGTATATATATATTTGTCCATAATTACATTTGATATTATTAAAAGATCTATCAGGGAACTGATTTCATTTGTATTTGTGTTGTTTGTAACCTATCAGTCTTTAATCATAGTTTCCTTGCAATCAGATATACATTATCAATGTAACCTTTTTTTTTTTTAACTTGCATTCTGTTTATTGTCATACAGATGTAAATTTGACTTTCATTCAATAACCAGGTGTTCTACTAGTTGACTTTCTCTTATACAACGAACAAAAATCGTATGCCGTGTTAGACATACTGTAAATGTTTATATTTTAGAATTGACCAATGCTTAAAATCTTCTGGACATTTTAAACTGTAAAACTAAAATGGAACTCTATAAAATCCCAGTTCAAACAAAACAAGGACTAAGTATTCAGGCCAAAACTCATAATGTTAGCAATTTTAAACTGACACACTTATGGTTCAAAGGTTAAATACCTCCATAAAAAAATTGCATTACTTTTGCGTCCTGAAACTGGGTAAGCCAGTCAGCAAAAATCTTTTAAGTTGCAAATGTTAATACATTTATCAAATCTTTTCAGCATTGTTAAAACATTATTTACTAAGAATGAGTTATTGGTTCATTATTTTGATGACTTATAACTAGCAATTATGTCTTTAAAAAAAAAGTTTAATGAAGACCAAAGAAATGGGTTCTCATTTAGTAGTTACACTTACAGTATTTTCAAATAATTTAGCTCTTTGAATTAGTTTCTCAATTCCAGACATTAACTATGATTCAGTTCAAGCTATTGATAATGTATACACATATACATTATATTAATTACACTCAAGCATGTCTATAGTGATCAATTATTAAAATCAAAGCCCCACTTAAAAATTTTTTCTAGTTTTAGAAAAGTCACATTATAGCTTAATTGAAATAAATTATATAGGCCAAGTAATAATGATCATAAAGTTAAACTGAAGTAATAATGATCATAAAGTTAAACTGACGTAATAATGATCATAAAATTAAACTTATGTTTCTATGATAGAGTTGGCATTTAGATTTAATTATACAGCATTGAATGTTTTGACAATGTAGATTTTTTAAAGTTTACCTATTTTAAATTGTACCGTTACCTAATACTCCCATGCAGGATTATAAGAGTGAGGCACGGTGACTGAGTGGTAAAGCGCTTGGCATCTGAACTGGAGGGTCAAGGGTTTGAATCCTGGTGAAGATGGATTTTTTAATTTCAGGATCTTTAGGGCACCTCTAGGTCCGCCCAGCTGTAATAGGTACTCAACATTAGTTAGGGAAAAGTAAAGGTGCTGGCCACATGACACCTTTGTTAACTGAAACATCATCTGCCCTATAGAGTACAGTTTGAAAGGGGAACTTTCATTTTTTTTTAAGGATTACGAGATGGTAGTATAGATGCAAGTATATCTTAGTTACACCTGTCACTAAATTGTTTATGTCAAACACTATGGCATGAAAGAAACAAAATCAATTGTTTGATGGTTGTAAATGTTTTTTCCTTTTATTGTTTAATTTAAATAATTTGTCTGACAATGCAGATCTAAACATAATGACTAATTTAGACATACTCCGATTGTATATAAGTTAAAATATAGAAAGAAATGGAATGTTCTAAAAGTTAATAAACATCTCTGATAGAATCAAAATGAATAGAATTATGAAATGCAGGAAAGTAAAAAAATGTTAAAATGAACATATTTACACACATCTGTTTTTTTTTCCATTAAAGAAACTAAGGTAGTATGTTTCATCAAATACACTTCTAGCGTATCAATACTACCACAGTTCAATTAGCAGTCCAGGATTTTACATTAACTTAAACCTTTAATGAAATGCCATAATTTAACCAAAAAAAAACCAAACTATACCTTTATGAAAATAAAACCTGAAGTACCAAGTCGTACAACAGAGTGCTATCTAGCCCTTCAAAACTCCAGCCCATATTGATAATGTATTTAATAATGAAACTATAAAGGCTTGTTTCCATTAAACTTGTGCTATTGTGTGACCTGTAACCCAGATGGTTAAAATTTCTAGGACCCCCCCCCCCCCCCCCCCCCCCCCCCCAATTAAGTTGTGAGCATTTCTGTTCTAAGTTACTTCTGTCTTATGAACAGACATACTTGTAACTATCAAACAAATTAAAGGTTATCACCAAAAAAAAGAGGAAAACCTCTAGACTAAAACAACTACATTTAAACCAAACACACACAAAAAGACTGCATAGTGTTAAAAACGTCCCTGTATCATGTTATTGATTTCAATGAAGTGTTACAAATAACATTTGTGAGCATGTGAACCCACATCTTTGCATCAAAAAAACATGAAATCAAGCCTACAGACTAGTACTAATCAATACAGTAAAACTGAAATATATATTATTGCTCACATTCTTGGTTGCAGTTAGTGCAGCATTCCATACCAAAGAAAAAGAAGAAATATTTAGAATTGTTTAACAATATAGCAAATCAGTGGCACTAGACATGGGGCCAGTATTCAGGATTTTAAGAAATGGTCAATTTGTAGGACTATGTACATAATCCTTGTATTGATAAACACACTTCCCAGCAATATAAGTGGCCTTGACATTTAGGTCATCATCCAATAAAACAAAATCAGCATCACTGTCGAAATTGAGTGTACCTTTTCTGTCTTTGATACCTAAAAGTTGAGCAGGATGCAAAGATGCAGCTTCTAAAGCTAGTTCTGGTCCACATCCTAATAATTTTTAAAAGAAGACATTACAATCTGTGGTGTATTATTATTATTATTGCAATATATTGAATGCAAACTTATATATGTATGTAAACATTAATAAACCAGAGGGAAAAAAAACAACAGAAAGAAGTAACTGAAGAAATTTACATTTTAATTTTTAAAAACTTTGCACAGTAAATAGAGTAACAAAGGATGCTAGAAACTAGACTATTTCAGTGTGCCTAGACATAAGATATTATCAACTAAAGAGAGAAGATTTTAAATTCAAATTTTAAATACACTTATCTTCATCAAAAGTCAAAAATGTGTATTACTTTTTTTTTGTAGACATTTAGGCAGAGTTTTTAGCAAATTGTAAGCATCCTTCAATTTGGCTATTTATAATGACTACTGTAGGTTCCTAGTTATATACTTTGAACCTCTACGCTCAAGTTAATTATCTATTTTCTTATCTTATTAATTACAAATGCTTTTTCAAAAGAGAAGATAATTGCTTATGTTAATGTAAATGTGTTAATCTAGTCATGCATGTTAATAAGAGACTTAAACTCTGCTGGTCTGGTTTTCTTGGCTGCTTCAGCTTCTTCTATATACTTCAGGGCTGATTTCATAAACATGTCCCTAACCTTTGTAGCCCATTAAAACAGCTCAATCTTAGTAGAGTTTTGGAAAATGCTTTATTATTTATAGACGTTTACTTCTAGTTGCCTACATCGTTAGAGTTTCTAGTTACCTACATCTTCAGAGTTTCTAGTTGCCTACATCTTTAGAGTTTCTAGTTACCTACATCTTCAGTTACTAGTTGCATACATCTTTTAAGTTTCTAGTGGCCTACATCTTTAGAGTTTCTAGTTACCCACATCTTTAGAATTTCCAAAGGAAGACATTTTCCTAAGTAGTCTTTACCTTTCTTATCCTTTTTGGTGATATAATTTTGTTTGCATTAAAATTGTATTTATTGTCAAAGACAGCACTGAAGTAGTTTGGACTATTTCAATGTTCTCTCCAGTTATTTTTACTTCTTTTTTAATGGAAGTTTATCATCACTTCTTTGTAGTTTTTTTTTACATTCAAATGTTTAAAATCATCTTTATCTAATCTTTATTGATGATGTTTATTTCTTTGAAATAACTATGTCGGAACACTTTGAGAACAGGTCAAAAAGTCGCCTCATCTGCCTATTTTGTTAAAGAAGAAATAACAATATCTGATCGAGAATCATTAGCTTATAAAATGTACCACAATGGCGATATCATGGCCTCTTGAGAAAATGCTTATGATGTTCAAGATCTAACTCTAGGTTGAAAGGGGCCAAAATTAATTTTTTAGAAATTATTTGACTACCGGTATTTATTGTATCCTCACCTGTTTGTTTAGCAAAAAGTCGAACACAAGTGTCAAGTGTTGCCATGCTGAAATAAAAATGTCAGAATAGTTTTTTTTCTCAAGTTTTGAAATGTTTTGCATATTAAAACATTAGCTCTCTTGTCTAATACAGTTGTTTGAAATTCATTGGCAACATTCTGCTCTGTTCAATGCATTGGGACAGTCCAAGAGTAGTAGATAAGATTCTAATATATTTAAAATTAACAAGATAATGAAAAAGACAGTTCTTAAGAATCAATTGATAACCTTCTGCACTATATGTAACACCTTTACTGTAAGTAAGTTTACAGTAAGTAAGTTTACTGTAAGTAAGAAACCTGTTGACAGAATTCATATCAGATGCAAAAGCAAATCTGAAGTGAGTTTCAGAAAAGTCAGCAGAAATGTTTCATGGACCAGAGATTCAGGACAATTTTTACTTTTACTAGCATGGAGTACAACAGGTGGAGCAATTTTTTAAGCAACAATTCCATATTATATTATATGTATCATTAATATATATATTTATTTATATTAATTATGTATTTAAGTCTTCATTTCTCCCATTACTTAAGCTAATTAGGAATCTATGTTTACTCTATTATCAGCAAGTCATTGTGTTTGCTTGAAGCTAATTAATTGTAAACAACATATTTATGCAAACAATAAGACCCTGAGGTGTAATTTCAGTATTATGAGTATCTTCTCAAACTCAATTTGATGTAAACAACTTATTTATTCAAACCAAGGGACCTTCAGGCAGAGATTGCACGAAGGCATCTACGTCAAGTTTTTTCAGACAGCAATGTGTTCTACCTTCAACTGTCCCACACTCAGACAAAAGAGAAGATCATATAACTCCTCTGCCAATGTCTCCACCTTACTTGCCTACACTAAACAGGAGCTCCAGCTTGCTGTTAACAACTTTGTGTATGCTGCCACTTCTTTTGGTTAAACAATAAATCTTGGAAAAACAGAAGTCATAATTCCATAATGGGCATACACTGACAGGACTACCTTATAAATAATCAAGTTCTGCTGGAGACTAGTGTGGGCAGTTCAGAAGCCCTTACTATTCGACAGCTGGCTGCACTGGTTTGGACAATTCACGCATGGCATCTTTTTCTTTTAGCTAGATTAAAAATGCTAGAAAAATCAACAAAGGCTCCTAATTTTCCCCTCACTGACAAAGAGGAAGGTAGCTGACAGAAGATGGCCTCTGAAATAGACAGTTTGAGAGCTCTCACAAAAGCAGGGGGAAACATATGAGGCCCATTAGAAAGCCCTTGTATAAACAAGCAAAGAAGACGTAAAACTAATTATACAGACCCCTAGCTGACAAAAAATATGCAGTTTGCCATTGGGTTTGCGTAGTAATGTAAAACACTGCACTCATCCTTAATCTTCAAAATCAAAGACTATAACTATTATATTACATATTTTGATATAATTAACATTTTCCTTTTTTATCTTCTGACATTACTGAAATGATTTTGAACACTTCAACTGATTTTCTAGTGCTCTAAGAGATATGCATAACCAGGTTGAGAAAAACTTATCTAAAGCAATTTTACTTAAGAACACCACACTTACCTTCCAGCTAAAGTTTTTGTGTCTTTGATGTAAGAATATTTTCCTTCCACAACAATAGTTTGTTCCCCAAAAGGATAAGTTCCATCAGGTAGTCCCATGGCTTGAATGGCATCAGTAACAAGTACAGTGCCTGGCAAGACAACAGAAGCAAGAAGTAAGAGCAACAACACATAGCAATTATAATTGACCTTTTAAATAATGCTTACATTTCAAAGCAATTAATTAAATAACATGCATATCATATGGACTACTAAATTTGCAAATGAATCACACTTGAATGGTTTACTTAGTTTCTATATAAAAAAAAATACCAGCATAAAACATTGTATAGCAGCACTAAAAGACAATAATAAGGCTTGTCTTTGAGTCCCAAGATTAATTAGGAGTTCAGTATTTACTGTGGGTACGCAGCCCCAGCTGTGACCTACATATTTTGCCATATCCAGGGCAGCATGACCTTTGTCCTCCGGTGGTTGATTAAGACAATAGTGAAGAAAATAAAGACTAGCTCTGACCGAACCACAACTCCCCAAAACTTGGCAGAATAGCAGTGAAACAGGAATCAAGCAAAATCTAAAGATTACTGGTGTTAGCAAGCATCCACTATTTAAGAAAACATATGTTTACAGGATGTACCCATAGTTTAAATCATAAAAAGAAACAACATGGCAATTGTTGTAATTTACATTTAATGAATGTGCACTGTTGTTTTTTGTTATAGTTTGGCTTGTTGTTAAGTAACTCATTCAGTCAACCTTGTCAGAGTGTCTCCTTCTTCCAGTTTGAAGAGTCAGTGTTATTTTACATCAAGGTTTTATTGCTGCCACTGCCACCTACCAGACAAATTTAACTCATTTTCAGATAGAATTCCAGATTGTGACACATTTTCTTTGACAAATTGTAGTTCCTTTTTTTCTAATCAAACCATTTTTACTTGGTAACTTTTATTTTTTATTTTTGGTTCATATTGTCTACAAAATGTTTTCGACTAAGCCACAATAATTAAAAAAGTAAAAAAAAATGAATGAAAATAATTTATTGTTAAGACCTTTTGGATGAACTCTGTGAGCAATACGTAAAGCCGCTGGATGAGTGTGTATTCCATCAGCTATGATACCATAGAAAACTTGACGATTTCGAGGAAGTTTTTCACTTGTCAATAAACCAACCAGATGAGGATCACGATGATGGAACTGTAAAGAGATGATGGAACTGTAAAGAGATGATGAAATTGTAATGAGATAACAAATTCTTAAAGAAATAATGAAGCTGTAAAGAGATGATGAAATTGTAATGAGATAACAAATCCGAAAAGAGATAATGAAGCTGTAAAGAGATGATGGAACTGTAAAGAGATGATGAAACTGCAAAGAGATGATGGAA